TCTTTTTAACCATTGGTCTGAAGTGGTGTAAGGTTTCCTGCCTAAGCAAGGGGTTGGACTAGAAGACCTCCAAGGTCCCTTCCAACTCTGTTCTTCTATTCTATTCTTCAGGTCCTTTGGAGAATAGGTGGGGTCCCCTCCTCTTTATGACAGCCCCTCAAATCTGAATGGATCCTCCCAACCAAGTTGGGGTGATGCCCACAGAGCCATGTGTGAGGTCTCATATTCTGTGGTGGGTCAGAAAGTCGACTTAGACCCCCCACCCTGCTCAACAGTCTGGCCAGAAAAAGCCAAGTCTTCTTTTGGGTAAGCGTAGCTCTTGGTGTCTTCACAGAAGCAAACATGTGGTTCTCTTGAAGCCAGCATGGAAGTGTCTTCTACATCAGGGGGTCTCCAACCTTGGCAACTTTACGATTTGTGGACTTCAACTCCCAGAATTCCTCAGCCAGCAATGATGGTTCAGGGATTCTGGGAGTTGAAGTCCACACGTCATCCTAAGGGCCCACCTTCCCCATGCTGGCTCAGGGATTCTGGGAGTTGAAGTCCACACGTCATCAAAGGGCCAACCTTCCCCAAGACCAGTGTTTCTCAACCTTGGAAGCTTGAAGATGGGTGGACTTCAACTCCCAGAATCCCCCTGCCAGCGCTGAACCATCATACAAACAGCTGGCCAGAGTCACTCAATCGGTAGACGAATAGCCTATAAACTGCACAGGTAAGGATAGGTAGTCCTCTAACAAGGAGTAGGTAGTCCTTACAACAATTCATTTAATGACCGTTCAAAGTTATATCATCAAACAGTTATTCATGACTGCTTTTTCACGCTTACAATTTTTGCAGCATCCCCGTGGTCACGTGATTAAATTTCAGATGCTTAGCAACTGGCATGTACTTATGACGGTTGCACTGTCCAGGCAGGGTTCGCATGATCCCCTTTTGCGACGTCGATGGGGGAAACCAGATACTCTTAATTAGTCTCTTTACTAACTGAACCGCTGCGTGGCTTGACTTAACAACGGTGGCAAGAAAGCTCATAAGATGGGGCAAAACTCACTGAACCCATGTCTCGCTTAGCGACAGAAATGTTGGGGGGGGTCCATTGTGGTTGTAAATCAAGGACCACCTTTAGGTAAACCCAACGAACAGTCTGCATTTAATTGCAGATGGAGTCTGTCTGTGCCTTTTCAATAGTTTTGTTTAGCGTTTAGCGTTAGTTTAAAGTTTTTGGGAGCTGAATAAAATCAGGGGCTGCCCCAAAGAAGAGGGAGTCAAGCTATTCTCCAAAGCCCCTGAGGGCAGGAGAAGAAGCAACAGATGGAAATTTATCAAGGAGATAAAGCAACCCGGAATTAAAGAGAAACTTCCTAACAATTGAGGACAATTAACCAGTGGAACTGCTTGCCACTAGAAGTTGTGAATGCTCCAACACTGGAGGTTTTGAAGAAGAGATTGGACAACCGTTTGTCTGAAGCGGTGTACGGTTTCCTGCCTAAGCAGGGGGTTGGACTAGAAGACCTCCAAGGTCCCTTCCAACTCTGTTATTCTATTATTATTATTATTATTATTATTATTATTATTATTATTATTATTATTATTATTATTATTATTATTTTAATTTGATTTATATGCCGCCCTTCTCCGGAGACTCAGGGTGGCTTACAGTGCGTTAAGCAATAGATTATAAAATTAGGGAGCCAGAAAAGACACTAGGAATCACTTCTGATTTTGAGCCCTGTAGATTAACATGGCTTTTTTCCTACCATAAATTAATCTCAGGGAATTTTAATTATGTTTCCCTTCCTTCGAGGAAGGGCTGCCACAGAGAGGAAGGGGGTCAACTTATTTTTCAAAGCACCCGAAGGCCAGACAAGGAATAATGGATGGAAGCTGAACAAAGAGAGATTCAACCTAGAAATAAGGAGACATTTTTGTAACAGTGAGAACAATCAACTGATGGAACAGAAGTTGCCTTTGGAAGTTGTGGGAGTTTCATCACTGGAGGCTTTCAAGAAGAGACTGGACTGCCATTTGTCGGAAATGGTGTAGGGTCTCCTGCTTGGGGTTGGACTAGATGACCTACAAGATCCCTTCCCACTTTCCGGCAACTGTTCCATGTTTTAGTTTCCAAGGCCTTCAATCATTGTAGTTGCTCTTCTCCGCAAACCTCCTAGCTCTCGGAATTCCAACGCGCTTCTTCTCCAGTCCCCCAAACTCCACGTGGTAAAACTCTGCCCCCAGCTTAGCAGCTGCACAACCAATTTACACAGCCGTGCCTTCTCCACCTCTAGGGACTGGCAGGGACTGGTTCCTTCCCACTCAAGCGGCAGCATTACTCACAACCCTTGAGCAGACACAATCCTAACCCACCCAGTTTCTGCAGAAAGTCGCTCCAGATTGGCAGGCTGATGTTGCCTGCACCACAGGGAGCTGCACCCAGGAACCCCAAAAAAAGGCACTGTGCTGCCTTTGGGGGTTTCAGCCTGAGTTTCCCAGATTTGCAAGCGGAAGAAAAGGAAAGGTTACAAGGGGAAAAGTACATATGTGACATTAAAATGAGCTGGAAACCTCCTAGGAGAGTGATGGCTAACCTTTTTGCCGTCGTGTGCCAAAAGCGGGGGCTGTAGCGGGGGTCACACGTGCGTGTGTCCACACCCATAATTTAATGTCCCCCTGTGCCCCCCCACTTTTGGCATGCGGCGGCAAAAAGATTATCAGTCAGCCTGGTAGGCCCATTTCTTTGCCCTCCCCAGGCTCCAGGGACTTTCTTGGAGCCTGGGGAGGGCAAAAACAGCCTCCCCCAACCGTCCCCCGGAAGCCTTCCAGAGGCCGGAAATGGCCCATTTCCCAACTTCCGGTGGGCCCGGAAAGCACGAAAATCAGCTGGCCGGCACGCACCCACACGCTGGAGCTGAGCTATGGCAATGCTCGCGTGCCCACAGATATGGCTCCACGTGCCACGCGTGCCATAGGTTCGCCATCACGGTCCTAGGAATTTGGCAGCTGGAACTGGCCTACCTGGCTGGCAGGTTGAGTAGGAAGCTCTTTTGAGTGACTACAGGTAGTTCTCAACTTACGACTGCAATCGAGCTCCCCCAATTTCTGTTGTGAAGCAAGCTTTGCCCCGTTTTATGACTTTTCTTGCCACCGTCGTTAAGTGATATCACAGCAGTTAAGTGAGTAACCTTGTTGTTAAGTGAATCTGGATTCCTCACTGGCTTTGCTTTGTCGGAACGTCGCAAAAAGGGACTGCGTGACACCCCCTCAGGATGCCGCACCCGGTCGTAAAAATGAGTCGGTTGCCAAAATTGTCTGAATTTTGATCACGTGACCATGGGGGGGGAATGCTGCAATGGTCGTAAGCGTGGAAAAAATGTCATTAAACACTTTTTTAAAGGGATATTTAACTTTGGTCTCTAAACGGACTGTTGTACAATAGTGGCCAAAATTGTGGAAACCTTTTGGGAAAAGTATATTTTTGAGGTTTGATGGCCAGTAACACTTTTTTTTATTTGGAGTTTCAAGATAATCCTATTTCACTGCTGGAATGGCCTGGGAATAGCTCAGACCTTCACCCAATGGAAAATCTATGGAGCGGACTCAAGAAACTGGTTAGTCAGAAGCGACCCAGCAATTAAACCCAGTTAATAGAAGCCATCATTCAATCTTGGTTTCACATTAGAACAGCTACAGAACTCAAAGACTTGGTTCACTCCATGGGAAGATGTTGTAAGGCCGTAATTCCTGCTAAAGGTTACCCAACTAAGCATTAACTGACATGGTGATCATTTTTGTATATCTCGTTTTTTCTATGGTGATCATTTTGGTATATCTCATTTTTTTCTACATATTTCACTTTTCTTCTTTCTACTGTTAACTGCTATTCTAACAGCAAATCCTTCCTAAAAGTTATTGCATTACATTCTGGATTCAATTATCTTTCCATTGACAATATAATGTTATGGTACTACTCCCTAAAAAAAAAAAAAGTGGTGTTATTAGCTAGTTTTAGAAAATACAATTAGGTTTCCACAATTTGGGCCACTACTGTAAATCAAGGGCTACATACATCTTTGGTGGGTCTGAATTTCCCAATTGTGAAAGCAGTGCAATAAGCCAACCTTCTGAAGTTTATAGGGGGCTGCATCTGTTGGGAGATTGGGCAACCATTTGTGATAAATAGAGGATCTCTCAAGTGGGTTGGGCTAGACAACCTCTTAAGGTCCCTTTTCCACCCTAGAATTCAGATTCTCCTGCCAACGAATCCTTCGGGGACCATCGCTAAGAGAGGTTTATCTCTCAGCCTTTTACCGGACTGGTATATCCTAAGTATGTAGAATCCTAGGGCTGGAAGGGATCTCAAGAGGTCATCTAGTCCAACCCCCTGCTCGAAAGGCAGACCTACCGACCATCCCCGGCAAGCACTTTTTCATTCCCAACCTGGGTGAGACAAAGTTTAGCCTCTTCTCTTCACTCACGTGTTCACATGTAAAACACACACCCTTCTGTCAACTTTTAAACTTGTGGATTTTTAAACAATTGCTGGCTGGGGAATTCTGGGAGTTGAAGTCCACAAAGCAGCCACGTTTGAGAAACGCTGCTTTCTAACTGTGATTGACGGCCATCCTTGGCCTATGATTGGTGGGGTTTCCACTCTGACCTCCAGACTAACCGCCTCTTCCACCATGCCTCCCCCTCCATATAGGCCAGAGGTCTTCAAACTTGGCAGCTTTAAGACTTGTGGACTTCAACTCCCAGAATGCTCCAGCCAGCTGGAGCATTCTGGGAGTTGAAGTCCACAAGTCTTAAAGCTGCCAAGTTTGAAGACCTCTGATATAGGCTGTGACATCAAACCCAAGATTCCCCTAACCAGCATAACTTGAATTCGGGGGTCTCCCCAAGCCCCCCACGCATAACCAGCATAGCTGGGGTCTGGGATGGATCTCCCCAAAATTCCCCCAACCCCTCCTTCCCAGCCCCAATGAAATGACACTACAAAAAAGTCTTTTTTTCACAGCACATAATGCATTTGTTCCCTAACAAGAGCAAAAACAACGGTAGAAAAATATTCTCAGAAATAGGAGCATTGTAATATACAATACAGTCGATTCTCAAAAACTGAGAAATATTCGCGTGAGGTTTTTTTTAGTCCCTGCTTTTAAGAAAGCAAGAAAAAAAAAGGCACTGTCCCATTGGAGGCAGTTAAAGAGATGCGGGATGGTATTATTTTGAGTCCAATTCTAGCCATCAGTCCCCGTCTGGAATTTAAAAGCACCAGAGCGACGTATCTTGGTCTCCAAAAACCGGTTTTCCATCTGCCGTCCAGCTCAAATCTTGGGGAGATAAGGAAATGGGGTAGAGACAGGCACCCCCACATCACCACCGAAGCGCCCCATTTTCCCAGCCATGGGAGGGATATAGGAAGCATTTCAAAAACAGATTTTCCGGCAGGCTTCAAGGGATCTTCAGCGGCACAAGATTCGGTCGTCTGAACTAACGCAGGCAGGCTGTTTGAAAGACAAAATAAAAAAAAACCAAACTGTTAAAAGACAAAAGATCAGCAGTTGTGTTGCCATCTGCCCCTTTCCCCCCCAAGGCAAAAAAAAAAAGGTGAATTAATTATACGGTTTCGGTGGTCAAAAGAGGAACAGAAAAGACAGGCGCCACCAGAGTGAGGTCAACAATCCCTTCCGTTCAAGAGTGTTGTGAAACTCGGAAGCTGACATACCCTAAAAAGCAGCTGTTTCATCTAGAGATTTTTTTTTTCTTTTCCTGCAACTGGTTTCTTGATCGGGAAAAGCCACAGAAAAATAAATAAAAATAAAAATAAAATGCCCACTCGGCCAGAATTCAACAGCAGATGCTCTTGACTGGCATAATTAAAAGAATCCTTCATATTTATTTATTATTATTATTATTTATTGGTTCGATTTATATGCCAGGGCGGTTTACAATGCGTGAAGCAATAGCCTTCAAACTTTTGTATATACTTGCTTAGTAGGGCTTTCGCCCACCCCCCAAGCGGTGTTCTTTTTTTATACAAAGTCAGCCTATTGCCCCCACAATCCGGGTCCTCATTTTACCTACCTTGAAAGGATGGAAGGCTGAGTCAACCTTGAGCCTGGTGAGAATTGAACTCGCAGTAATTGCAGGCAGCTGATAGCTAAGTGCTACTTAACAGCACTTTAGTTTGCTGCACCAAGGCTCATATCATCATTAAATAATTAAAAAAAACCTAAATAAACAATTTACAATGGGGTAGGGGATGGACAGCTGTATATGTGCAAATCCTCAACCTACAACCACCATTGAGTCCAATGTTTTGGATGCTAAGTGAGACACCGGTTAAGTGAGTTTTGCCTCACTTTACCTAAAATTGTTAAGTTGCTGTCGATAAATTAGTAACCCGGTTGTTAAGTGAATCTGGCTTTCCCTGTGGACTTTTTTTGCTTGTTGGAAGGTCGCAAAAGGGGATCCGCAATGGTCATAAGTAAGAGTCAGTTGCCAAGTATCTGAATTTTGATCACATGACTCTGGGGATGCCGCAACGTGGGAAAATGCATGTGGGAAAATGTTCGTAAGTCACTTTTTTCAATGCTGGTTGTAACTTTTGATTGGTCATTAAATGAACAGTGGCTACCTGTAAATAAGCCTGAGTGTATAATTGGGGGGGAAGCAGATGAACAGCTGTAAACTTTGTACAAAAGAACCGAGTTCTTAGAAAAAAATATATTTTATATAAAAGCATACAAATATCAGGAACTTTTTTTTTTTTTTAAATCCTTCCTCCATCTGAGCGCTCTGCAAAGAACCCAACAGCCTTGGAGAGATTTGGAAATTCAGAAGGCACCTTAGAGAATTGTAGAGAAATCGTTTCTAATCTCAAGATCCTAAAAGTGATTTTTCCCCCCCCTTCTTCTAAGAATCCAGAGAGAGGATGGCGCCTTCTGTGGCTCACCAGTTTTACTGAAAAGCAAAAACTTTCCAAAACTTCTGGGTCTTGTTCGAGAAGCGTTATCACTCCAAACGGGGCACAAGATTCCGCTGGATTTGCAAACGGATCAAAATTCAGGAAAAATGTCCTTTTTTTCCACCTTCTACAAAAGCTTAGCCATGCTTCAAGCTGGGCTGGCCAATCGGTTGCTGGCATCATCTCCTGCAGTCAACCTGGGGGGGGGATCAGGGGAGGGGACTTCAGTGCCCACCAGAAGGGCTGGCAAGGATGGCACTTGGCACGGGAGTGAGAACTGCCCCTCGTGCTTCCAAAGCACAATTCCTGTCCCGTGGGTCGCGAATTTATTTGGGGAAGGGCAGGAGATTCCCAGGCTAGCAATGGGAACACGGAACTGGCAAAAGCCTATACAAGAAACAGCTCCGGAGCCTGGCAGTGCCCATGGAAGAAACTTAGGCGCTGGGGTGGCAGACGGGACACAAACCCCCACGGACCACTGCTGCGCGATCTGGGCTCGTGGGGCAGATGGGCACGTACCCCACGGACCATTGCTGCGCGATCTGGGCTCGTGGGGCAGATGGGCACGTACCCCACGGACCATTGCTGCGCGATTTGGGCTCGTGGGGCAGATGGGCACATACCCTACGGACCATTGCTGCGCGATTTGGGCTCGTGGGGCAGATGGGCACGTACCCCACGGACCATTGCTGCGCGATTTGGGCTCGTGGGGCAGATGGGCACGTACCCCACGGACCATTGCTGCGCGATCTGGGCTCGTGGGGCAGATGGGCACGTACCCCACAGACCATTGCTACGCGATTTGGGCTCGTGGGGCAGGTGGGCACGTACCCCACGGACCATTGCTGCGCGATCTGGGCGCGTGGGGCAGGTGGGCACGTACCCCACGGAGCCCCCGTTGCGCGCGCTCTCCTCCTCTCTCCTGGAGTGGGGGGATCTTCCCTGGTGGGTTGGGGGGAGAGGCTCACCTCGGCTCCTCCGGCCGGCTCGTCCACGCCCCGCGGAGGGGGCCCCTGCAGCTCGAGCTGGAGATCCCAAATGTAATCGATGACGTGCTGGAGGATCTCCACTTTGGAGACGCGGCGGTGGCGAGGCAAGGTGGGCACCAGCGCGGCCAGGCGCGAGTAGCAGCCTTTCATATCCAGAAGCAGCGAAGCGGCGGCGGCTGCAGCCGCTTGATCCGGGCCGAGGGGCAAACCCCGGGCAGGGGGGCTGCCCACGCGGGACAGCGACACGCTCTGCTCCGAGAGGCCCCGCGGCAAAGGGTCGCCCCCGGCGCCCTTGAGAGAGCAGCTAGGGCCGGGGGTGACGGCGGGAGCGATCACCTTCATAGCCGGGAGAGACCAACGGACGCAACTCCGAGGACAAAACGCCAACACACACGTGCGCGCGCACCCAACCGCCCGTCTAACGCAGCCGCGAGTGGCGCTCCGGCCGCGGAGAGGCGGCTTTTATACCGTCCCGACTCACAGGGCGGAGCCTCGCGGCTGCCGGGCAACCAATGACAAAGAGAGGGGCGCGGCTTCCCGCTCTCACGCTTTCATTGATGGGGACTGGCGTCCCCGGGAGTTTTTTTAAAAAAATTTGATTTATATGCCGCCCTTCTCCGGAGACTCAGGGTGGCTTACAATGCGTTAAGCAATAGCCTTCATACTTTTGTATATTTATACAAAGTCAGCTTATTGCCCCCACAATCCGGGTCCTCATTTTACCTACCTTAGAAAGGATGGAAGGCTGAGTCAACCTTGAGCCTGGTGAGATTCGAACTTACAGTAATTGCAAGCAGCAGTTGTTAATCACAATGCTATCAGTCTGCTGAGCCACCAGGCCCTCCCTCTTTCCCTCCCTCCCTCCCTCCCTTCTTTTTCTTTCTTCCTTTTTTCCTCCCTCCCTCCCTTCTTTTTTTCTTTTTCTTTCTTTCCTTCCTTTCTCTTTTCCTTTCTTTTTCTTTCTTTCCCTCCCTCCCTCCCTTCTTTATCTTTCCTTCTTTCTTTTTCCTCCCTCCCTCCCTTCTTTTTCTTTCTTTCTTTCTCTCTCTCTCTCTTTCTTTCCCTCCCTCCCTTTCTTTCCTTTTCTTTTTCCTCCCTCCTTCCCTTCTTTTTCTTTCTTTCTTTCTTTCCTTCTTTCTTTTTCTTTTCCTTTCTTTTCCTTTCTTTCCCTCCCTCCCTCCTTTCTTTCCCTCCTTCCCTCCCTTCTTTCTCTTTCCTTCTTTCTTTTTCCTCCCTCCCTCCCTTCTTTTTCTTTCTTTCTTTCTCTCTCTCTTTCTTTCTTTCTTTCTTTTTTTTAAATTTGATTTATATGCCGCCCTTCTCCGGAGACTCAGGGCGGCTTACAATGCGTTAAGCAATAGCCTTCATCCTTTTGTATATTTATACAAAGTCAGCTTATTGCCCCCACAAACCGGGTCCTCAATTTACCCACCTTAGAAAGGATGGAAGGCTGAGTCAACCTTGAGCCTGGGGAGATTCGAACTTACAGTAATTGCAGACAGCTGGTCTTAATCACAATGCTTTTTGGGAGTTTGTGCAACGCGGGTTTCGCCCCCCTCTGCTGGTGGTGTGAAGAGTTGGGGAGGCGGGGGGGGGGAGAAAGAGGAGGAGGGGATCGGGGCCAGGTGCAGGTGGAGGGCGCCCCGGGACACGTCGTCGGGGTGGGGGGAGGAAAGTTGAAAGGAGTTTGATGGACAGCTTTGACACTTCTCCCTCCGCCTCCCCCGTCGCCGCGACCCGCAGAGACGGAAACAAACGTGTGTCTGAACATTCCTTTTCTCGCCTCCTCCTTCCGCACCTCGAGGCTTCCCTCCTCCCCTCCCCACCCCGGCAAATTTACTGGGGAGGGGGCGCCCATTGAAGAATTCAGCCAGACGATGCTCCGGAGGAATTTTGCTTTTAACACCTTTTTTTTTTCCACCGGAATCTGCTCATTTTGGGGGGAGAGGGCGATGGTAGGACTACAAAACCCATGCCTTCCACTCCGCCCCGCTGCCAGTGGGGAAGATTACTGGATCTGGGCCTCTGGAGGCATCAGGAGGGCGCTAGGTTAAGGAAGGACACTACCTGGATGGGGGTTTTCTCTGCCCCCCCTCCACCGCTTTCCTTGGGGTCCCTTCAAACGCCTTCCTCCCCCACCCCCGGGGAAAAAAAACTGGACCGTGACAAGCCAGCATCTAATCTTGGCTTCATCTAGTTGGGTTTGTTGTGTGAACGGAGCCAGGGAGAATGCGCCTCGGGGGAATTGAGAAGGGCAATTATTCTCTTTTTTAAATTTATTTATTTTTATATGCCGCCCTTCTCCGAAGACTAAGGGCTGCTTACAATGCGTTAAGCAATAGCCTTCATACTTTTGTATATTTTATACACAGTCAGCTTATTACCCCCACAAACTGGGTCCTCATTTCACCTACCTTAGAAAGGATGGAAGGCTGAGTCGACCTTGAGCCTGGTGAGAATTGAACTCGCAGTAATTGCAGGCAGCTGGATGTTAAATGCTTGCCTTAGTAGGAGGCATTAGCCTCCTACGCCACTCAGGCGTTTGGTTTCCTGGCTCCAGCAACCTAATGGTATAGGATAGGTTCTCCTGCTCGAGCAGGGGGCTCGACTAGAAGATCTCCAAGGTCCCTTCCAGCTCTATTCTATTCCAATTCTTATTCTAAGCTTCACACGCACGCACACGGCCTCAAGTTGTCCCTGGCAGGAATCATGTCGACGTGGATGACTGAATTCAGTCACTTAGTGGTCAGAATCTGCCCTCTTTTCCTCCGTGTGTGTGTGTGTACCTTTGTGTGTTATTGATTGTGTGTTTTGTGTTGTTTATTTTGCGTTTTGTGTTATTTACCATGTTTGTGTTACGTGACATGGCTTTTTCACCAACTTCCCTGATCTGTTGTGGATTTTAACTGGGGGGTTGGGGATTTTAAATTGGTTTTAATATTATTTAACTCTTATTTATTGTCGGGTTGTTTTATTTATTTATTTTATTTTATTTTATTTTATTTTATTTTATTATTTTATTTTATTTTATTTTATTTGTATACCGCCCTTCTCCAACAGGACTCAGGGCGGTGTACAAAACACAACCTATAATTGTTGTCAGCAGCCCCGAGTCATTGCGGGAGAAAGGCGGCAAATAAATCTTGACAAAATAAATAAATAAATAAATGTGTGTCATTTTATCTGTGTTTTTGTCTGTGTGTCATTGATTGTTTTTGTGTGTCTCTTCTATATTGTGTGTTTTGTGTGTCCTTTACTGTGCATTTGGGAGTTGTGTCATTTTGTGTGTGTGTCTGTGAATTGTCATAGAAGGGACGAATTGGCGTCCACGTTTACTTTGAATGTGAAAATGTAACCACCCTGGTGAAGAGGCCACACAAAGAGCTCTTAAATTGCACCAAAATCCACGCGAAAAGCTTCCCGCGCCATGAGCAAGGAGGGTCGCTGCGTGGTCTCCCGTCCCGCCATCCTAATGCTGAAATATTTCCCCTCTTGCAAAGATTTCCGCCCGCTTTACATTCGCACGACTACCAGATCCCTGCCCTGCTCAGACCCCGACCCATTTATAGCCGTTTCCCACAGCAGGCGCAGCCCCCCGCCCCTCCCCGGGGCCGCTTCCCTGCCTTAACAAGCCGCTCAGACCTTCAGACGCCAAGGCCTGTGACGTCACCCATTCATAAAAATCCCCAGCGCTGTCAGCTTGGCGCCGGGCGGCCGGTGTCCATGGCAACCAGAAGAGCGCGGGGCGGGGCCAGCTGAGCAGTGTCTCCGCCCACCTCGCTCTTCCATTCACCTGCCAGGCCGCCCTGGGAGCCCAGAGAGGTAATTTTATCATTCCTCTCTCCCCCACCCCTAAGATTAAAAAAAAAATTGCACCCCCTCCCACACCTCCAGGGAAGCCCCCGCCCAAAATTTCCATTGCTAAGCTGCTTGTTCAGTGAGTTTGGCTCCGTTTTACGACCTTTCTTGACACTGTTGTTAAGTGAATCGCTGCGGTTGTTAAGTGAGTTACACGGTCGTTAAAGCGAATCGGGCCTCCCCATTGACTTGGCTTGTCGGAAAGGTCACAAAAAGGGGAATTCGTCTGAGCCCAGGACGTTGCAACTGTCATAAATACGAGTCAGTTGCCGAGCGTTCTGAATTTTTTTGATCACGTGCAACGGTCGTAAGTGTGAAAAACAGTCATGTCAATTTTTTCAGTGCCGTTGTTAAGTGGGAACGGTCGCTAAATGCATGGTTCTAAATCAAGGACTATCTGTATAAATAGTAGCTGAGGGCATATAGCTGTGCAATATCTGATTTATTTTTTTTTAATGCAGTGTTTCTCAACCTTGGAAGGTTGAAGATGGGTGGACTTCAACTCCCAGAATCCCCCAGCCAGCAGCGCTGGCTGGGGGATTCTGGGAGTTGAAGTCCACCCATCTTCAAGCTTCCAAGGTTGAGAAACACTGTTTTAATAGAAGGGATGCTGCAATTAGACCAGGGGATTCCGATTACCGGACTGTGACCTATTTGGAATTGGGCTGCGCAAGTGGCCAGATCTCAGTGAGTCCTCAGCTCCTGCAAATTAAGCTGTGTGTTTGTGCCAGGCCACCATTCAGACAAACGGGGGTGGGTGGGGGGTGGGGGGTGGGGGGTATGCAAGGTGCTGGCCTCCCACTGGTGTGTCCCAGTTCCCCTTTCCCCACCTCAGCTGGGTCGCCAGGCTGCAAAGTTTGGGGAACTCCTGGCCTAGACTTTAGTATTTGAACATAGATCATTTTCACACACAAAACAGGCAGCTTACGACCACAACTGAGCCCGAAAATGTCTGTGGTTAATTTTGACACTTGTTAAGTGAGGCTTATCCCCATTTTACAACCTTCCTTGCCGGGGTCGTTAAATGAATCCCTAAGATAGTCGCACGTTTGTTAAGCAAATCTGGCTTCCCCATTTCGGTACACGGCAACCGTCATAACTGTGAGTCAGTCCCAACAGAGTTGGAAAAAGGTGCCACACGCAGCCTGCAAGATCTGGCTTGGCTCACTGACGGGAGCCGCGCGTAAGTGGCGGGATTGTTATAATACAGGATTGCAGGCGAATTCTGCTGATTGCCAGGGGATTCGATCCTGGCCGGCTCAAGGTTGACTCAGCCTTCTGCCCTTCCGAGGTGGGTAAAATGAGGACCCCGATCATTGGGGGGCAAAATGCTGACTCTGCAAACCGCTTCGAGAGGGCCGGAAAGCACTGGGAAGCGATAGATGTCTTCAGTTCTCGGCTGACACCCCAAATTTTAGAGCGAGATCTGGCTTGGCTCACTGGCAGGAGTCACCTAGGCAGAAAGAGGCTCTCTCGGCTGACACCCCGAATTTGAAGCAAGACCTGGCTTGGCTCACTGGCAGAAGCCACCTAGGCAGAAAAAGGCTCTCTCGGCTGACACCCCGAATTTAAAGCAAGACCTGGCTTGGCTCACTGGTGAGAGCAATCTAAACAGAAAGAGGCTCTCCCCACTGACACCCCGAATTTTAGAGTGAGATCTGGCTTGGCTCACTGGCAGGAGCCATCTAGGCAGAAAGAGGCTCTCTCAGCTGACACCCCGAATTTTAGAGTGAGATCTGGCTTGGCTCACTGGCAGGAGTCACCTAAGTAGAAAGAGGCTCTCTCGGCTGACACCCCGAATTTGAAGCAAGACCTGGCTTGGGTCACTGGCAAGAGCAATCTAAGAGGCTCTCCCCACTGACACCCCGAATTTTAGAGTGAGATCTGGCTTGGCTCACTGGGAGGAGCCACCTAGGCAGAAAAAGGCTTTCTCGGCTGACACCCCGAATTTGAAGCAAGACCTGGCTTTGCTCAGAGGCTCTCCCCACTGACACCCCCAAATTTTAGAGCGAGATCTGGCTTGGCTCACTGGCAGGAGCCATCTAGGCAGGGAAGACGCTGTCTCGGCTGACGCTCCAGAAGCCTCCCCACCCCCCAAAATTTGGGGATGGCCCTTCCCGCGCCTGCCTCTCCCTCTCCCCCCCTCGCCCCCCCCCCATTCACAGCCTGGAAGGAAGGCAGGGGAAGGGGTGGGGGGGGCAGCCGTGCAGCTGTGCGGGCTATTGTCGGCGTCGGCCGGCTTGAGACGGCGAGCCCAGACAGAGCGGCTCCATCGCTGCCCTGCATTGTTCTCCGCTGCCCCGGGCGGGCGCGATGGGGGGGGGGGGGGGAGGTGGGGAAAAACCGGCTGCCAAGGGCGCCGGACGCGAGCGAGGACTGCAGAGGGGATCCAGAGGGCTTCGCGCACCGCTGGAGAAGTTGGAGGAACGGGAGGCGGAGAGAGACTCCGAAGGATGCGCAGACGGCGCCTGGACTGAGCCCCCCCCCCGGAGGAGAAAGGAAGCGGGGGTTCTCAGGAGACCCACCGTGGTGGGAATGCGGGGACACGTGTTTGCAAGCGACCCGGGTTTTGTTGCAGAAAGGACCTGCTGCTCCTCCTGGCGCCCATCTCCATGCAACGCTTCCCAGCCCTTCTTGAATGAAGGAGAAGATTTGAAGCCCGGGCTTGAATTGAGGGGTCCCTCATGACCCAAAGTCTCCTTACTAGCACTGATGATGTTCCCTAGTTGGGTCATGAAACGTCTGCAAGAAAACAGCCAAGCTCAGAGAGCACCAGAGAGCACACAATTCTCCTCCTTCTCCTCTTCCCCCCTTCCTTCCTTCCTTCCTTCCTTCCTTCCTTCCTTCCTTCCTTGTAGCACTGATGAAGTTCCCTACTTGGGTCATGAAACATCTGCAAGAAAACCTCCAAGCTCAGAGAGCACCAGGGACCCCACAGTTCTCCTCCTTCCTTCCTTCCTTCCTTCTAGCACTGATGATGTTCCCTAGTTGGGTCATGAAACGTCTGCAAGAAACCAGCCAAGCTCAGAGAGCACCAGGGACCCCTCAGTTCTCCTCCTCCTCCCCTCCTCTTCCTTCCTCTCCTTCCTTCCTTCCTTCCTTCCTTCCTTCCTTCCTTCCTTCCTTCCTTCCTTCCTTCCTTCCTTCCTTCCTTCCTTCCTTCTACCACTGATGATGTTCCCTAGTTGGGTCATGAAACATCTGCAAGAAAACCACCCAGCTCGGAGAGCCCCAAGAACCCCAGCCTTTCTTTCTCTACGGCCGTGTCTGTCGAGCTTGGCAATTGGAAGACGGGTAGGCTTCAACTTCCTTGCTGGCTGGGGAATTCTGGGAGTTGACTTCCACGCACCTCTTAAGTTGCTAAACCTGAGCAACACAGTTCTCTGAGCTCTGTTCTCTAGGCTGCTTGTTGTAAAAATTCCCTAAATCTGTGCCAAAAGTTGGCGGACTGAACTGTTGTATGGACTCAGCTCATTCCTGGGCAGTTTATAGTTTGCTGGTTGTATCCTTGCCAACCCGGAATATGGCATCTCTTGGCTTAAGCAGGTCATGTGAACGCAGCCATTCGTTCCCCAAACTTGGCGGGGGGGGGGGGAAGGAGGCTTGGCATCTGCGGAGGACCTGAATACTTCTTGCTTCGCAGGGAGATCAAAGATGGAAGTTCAAAAGACGGCAGAGTTTTCAGGAAGGTGCAGTTTGCAAATCGTTGCCTAAACACCACCTGCAGCTTCGAGAAAGCACCTTCTTTCTCCTGGGTGCCGCACCTGGGCCCAGGTGTGCTGCCTGCCGGTGCTTCCCTTCCAGCTGGCCCCTCCCTGCCCAAGGCAGCTTCCCATGACCATCGAGCTAATCCACCCAAGGACATTCCCATGGTGCCAGAGGTCTCCCTGTCGTCACCTCCATCCGGGCCAGCTGACCGATAGGCATCAGGTATGGGCCACAGGTGGGCTGCGGTTGCAGAATCAGTCTGGCAAGGCGTCAAGGAGGAGCGGGCAGCCAACTGTCACTCAACCCCCTGCTCCTGCTTCTGAAAAGTTCAAGGATTTTTCAACCTTGGCAACTTCGAACATGGGTGGACTTCAATTCCCAGAATTCCCCAGCCAGCAAAGAATTCTGGGAGTTGGAGTCCACCGGTCTTAAACTTGAGAAATATTGGTTTAACGTATGTTTGAACGGAACAAGGGAGTTTGTGCCTTTCCTCTCTCGATGGAAATTGCAACTTACGGAAGCTCAGAAACTCTAGATAAGCAACATCCATTCAGAAAGACTGGGTCAGACCGAAACTCCAGATAAGCAACGCAATTAGGAAAGCCAAAGGCTGATAAGATTAGCTCAGACAAACCCCTAGGATTTTTCTTCCAAGTGTGTGCCTTTCCTCCCTTGATGGATGTTGCAACTCGCGGAAGATCAGAAACTGGGGGATTCTGGGAGTTGGAGTCCACCGGGTCTTAAACTTGAGAAACACTGGTTTAACGTATGTGTGAAGTGTAGAGAGTCAGCATCTGCCCACCCTCCTAGAGAATGAAATATTTTGGGGAATATTAAAAAGGCAGGATAGAATATTTCCCCTAAAGGAGAAATGGGGGAAAATTTTAAGGCGAGGCAGAAACCAGCCCCAGTCTCCCTGCCCCCAAGCAGACACTGAGGAGACCAGCTTTTAGACATGCAGATTGGGTAATCCATTCAGAAAGACTGGGTCAGACCGAAACTCCAGATAAGCAACACAATTAGGAAAACCAAAGGCTGACAAGATTAATTCAGACAAACCCCTAGGATTTTTCTTCCAAGTGTGTGTCTTTCCTCCTTTGATGGATGTTGCAACTCACGGAAGCTCAGACACTGGGGAATTCTGGGAGTTGAAGTCCACCCGTTTTAAACTTGGCCAAGGTTGAGAAACATTACTATAGATTATTATTTTGGGGTGCCACCGAAAGCCCTGGAGCCAATATCATCCCTGGGGTGAGAAGTGAAGATTCAGATCTAATTAAATGGACATGGAATCGTCATGGTCATCAGCTCATTGGGGTGGATTTTAAAGTGGGGGGGGGAAGCTGGATGGCCCAGAATTCCAGATTACAGGTAATCCTCGATTTATAACCATTCATCCAGTGACCATTCAAAGGAATGGTGCAGTGGCCTAGAGGTATAGTTCTCGCCTCACAATCAGGAGGCTGTGAGTTCGAACCTAGGTAGAGGCAGATATTTCTCTCTCTGGGCACAATGAGAATATATCTGCTGAACAAAACTCCACACTGGAGACAGGGACGGCATCCGGCCAGTAAAACACTCTGCTAGCTCCATTCAGTTGCCCAGACTCCACCCCGCAAGGGATTATTTTATTTATTTATTTATTTATTTATTTTAATTTGTATACCGCCCTTCTCCAGCAGGACTCAGGGCGGTGAACAGCCAGAATAAAACAGAACATACAAAATTTAAAAACAGTTTAAAAAAATAATTAAATATTTTTGGCCCCAATTTTAAAATTTAAAATTATGGGGTCGTTAAAAGAAGACGATGGTTTAGTGGCCATTCAAAGTTATAACAGCACTGAAAAAAGTGAGTTATGTCCATTTTTCATACTTATATATCAATATACTTGCATACCGTTGCAGCACCTCCATCACCACGCGATCCAAATTCAGACGCTTGGCAGCTGACTCGCATTTACGACGGTGGCAGTGTCGTAAATGCGGAGCGACCCCCCCCATTGACCAGGCATCTTGCTTAGCAACGGAATATTTGGGGCTCCGTCGTGGCCGTACTTTGCAAGATAGTCTGAGGACACGATCCAGCCACGCCGTGGGGTTTCCTTGGCAAGAACGGAATTGTCATTTTTCAGGGTAACATTTGTCCGGTGACTTCATGAAAATGTCTACGTGGTTTTTTTCTTGTTTATTTATTTGCAAGTATTTATAGACTGTCCGATTTCCAGCAAGGGCTGTTTTGATGCTGCTGTTTCCAGGATGTGATTTGCAAATTTCCAGTCCTGGGAATTTTTTAACGCCCGAATCCTTAAACCTCTGCTTACGTTTTGGGACATTGGCCAGGTTGGGTTTTAAATATTGTCACCTGGAAGACTGATAGAAAGGAAGAGCTATTGCACGTCTGAAGAGTATATTCTATTTTATTTGGAATTTTATTTGCCCTCCAGTCCCAGCAAATGCAGTTGTCGTCCTGGCTCTGCTTTTCAGTTTGGGGTGGGTATTTGTGTTGGCCAGAGGTAACCTTTGTGTGTTTCTGAGAAAAGCTTTTGTCTGTGGGATAGTGATGACCGGCTTTGGAAGAAGCTCTATTTCACCCGCAGCCTTTGGAAAGAAAGCGAGTTGTTTTTCTTTGGACAAAACCTCACACACTTCAGAGAAATCCCCTCTTTTGGGCCACTTCTCTCTCTCTTTCTCCCTCTCTCTCGGCCCTGAATAGCTTCATCCCATCTCATGCAGATATTTTATTTTATTTTATTTTATTTTATTTTATTTTATTTTATTTTATTTATTTTACTTATTTTAATTGTTTTGTTTTGTTTTATTATTTGTTTTATTTTATTATTTTATTTATTTATTTTTTATTTTATTTTATTTATTTTTTACTTTTATTTTATTTTTATTTTATTTAATTATTTTGTTTTGTTTTATTATTTGTTTTATTTTATTATTTATTTCATTTTATTATTTCATTAATTTTGTATTTTTATTTTATTTTATTTTATTATTTTATTTTATTTTATTATTTTAATTGTTTTGTTTTGTTTTGTTTATTATTTGTTTTATTTTATTATTTATTTTATTTATTTATTATTTTATTTTATTTATTTTTATTTTATTTTATTTTATTTTTATTTTTATTATTTTGTTTTGTTTTATTTTATTTTATTATTTATTTCATTTTATTATTTATTTCATTAATTTTTTATTTTTATTTTATTTTATTATTTTGTTTTGTTTTATTATTTATTTTATTTTATTATTTATTTCATTTTATTGTATACAGGTAGTTCTCGACTTCACAACAGTTCATTTAGTGACCATTCAAAGTTACAGCATCACTTGAAAAAAGTGACTTATGATGGTTTTTCACACTTACGACCATTGTAGCCTCCCCACGGTCACGTGATTGATATTGGATGCTTGACAACTGATTCACATTTATGACAGTCGCAGTATCCTGGGGTCACGTGATCCCCTTTTGCGAACTTTGGACAAGCAAAGTCCATGGGGGGAGCCCGATTCACTTAACAACTGTGTTATTTATTTAACAATTGCAGAGATTCACTTAACAAATTTCATTCCTGTGTATTTTTGGCCAGAAACCAGTAAAAAATAACTATCTCCCTGTTTCCCCCAAAATAAGACCTCCCCTGATAATAAACCCAATCAGGCTTTGGAGCGCATGGCAATAAGGCCAAGCGCTTATTTCAGGGTTCAGGGTTCAAAAAATTATAAGATAGGGTCTTATTTTCGGGGAAACACGGTAACTAGATAGGTAGGTAGGTAGGTAGGTAGATGATTAATACATAGATGATAGATAGATAGATAGATGATAGAAAATGATAGATAGATAAATAGATAAATAGATAGAAAATTGTGGATGGATGGATGGATGGATGGATGGATGGAGGTAGGTAGGTAGATAGATAGATAGATAGATAGATAGATAGATAGATAGATAGATAGATAGATAGATAGATACATGATAGAAAAAGATAGATGATAGATAGATAGATAGATAGATAGATAGATAGATAGATAGATAGATAGATAGATAGATAGATAGATAGATAGATAGAAAATTGTGGATGGATGGATGGATGGATGGATGGATGGATGGATGGATGGATGGATGTAGGTAGGTAGGTAGGTAGATGATAGATAGATAGATAGATAGATAGATAGATAGATAGATAGATAGATAGATGATAGAAAATGATGGATGGATGGAGGGAGGGAGGGAGGTAGGTAGGTAGGTAGATGATAGATAGATAGAGATAGATAGATAGATAGAAAGAAAGAAAATGATAGATAGATAGATAGATAGATAGATAGATAGATAGATAGATAGATAGAAAATGATGGATGGATGGATGGATGGATGGACGGAGATAGGTAGATGATAGAAAATGATAGATAGATAGATAGATAGATAGATAGATAGATAGATAGATAGATAGATAATGATAGATGGATGGATGGATGTAGATAGGTAGATGATAGATAGATAGATTCTATCTATCTGTCTATCTATCTATATCATAGATAGATAGATGATAGAAAATGATGGATGGATGGATGGATGGATGGATGGAGGCAGGTAGATAGATAGATAGATAGATAGATAGATAGATAGATAGATAGATAGATAGTAAATCATGGTCGTAAATCGAGAATTACCCATATGGCCGCCCACTTCACCTGAGTGATGCTGGGGGAGCTGGCAGCACTTAAAAACAGCAATCCAAGACAAAAAGTGAAATAAAACAGATAGACGAGATGTCAAGCTGTCAATCATCACATGAAAAGCAAAGTAAGTGTGATCTACAGCAAAATCTATCCTTGCATCGGTGAAAATGCTTCCGCAGAGCCCCCGTGATAGCACAGCCATGTCACGGAAGGCCAGCAGGATGGGGGCCAATCTTAGATCGGTGGGGGGTGGAGTGACATTGCAAAGAGGAGGGGATAACCCCAGCAGAAAAGACCCTCCCCCTGGAATCCCCCAAGAGGCAACAGGTTCCCCCCAAAGGGCAGGCAGAAATTCAACCTGCAAAGGTTCGTGTCGCTTGGAGCTTCCTCGGCTGCCACCAGTGGTGCTGAAGCTGGGATGCTAGACTACAACTCCCATCGTTCAGGCTGGGAATGATGGGAGCTGAAGTCCAAGTTCCTCCCCCCTAAAAAAGGAGAAGATTGGCTGGCTGAGGACCGTGAGTCTTCCTCCTTTGCGTAACCCCAATTGTAATAAAGACAGGATGCTGGACTACAAGTCCCATCGTTCAGGCCAGGAAGGAACGATGGGAGTCGGAGCTCAAGCCCCTCACGCCCCCCAAAAGCGGGGGAGATTGGTGGGCTGGCGGCCTTCTGGCTGAGTTTTGAGTCCTTGCAGTGTTTTTTCCCAGGCTGGCTTCCCCATTCACTGGCTGCCCCCCACCTTTCTGGGGAGGGGGCTGCAGTGTTCCCACAGGGGCTCTCAAAGCAGCTAATTAGTTCCCATCTGCTGCCGGGCAGCCCCCTCCCCACTATTGGGGTCTTCTTGAGCCTCTTTTCAGCTTTCCTTTGTCTGCAGGAATTTCTGAGCAGGAGAACAATTGGGTGGGGGGGCCCCGCAGCCCCCCCCTCCGTTTGCATCTGGGCCTTCTGCACCCATTAGCCCCGTGTCAAAGCTTGGCCCTGAGGTCAGAGGTCAGGGGACCACTGATGCCCCTTGCAGCCCAGGATGGAGGTGCCCAGCTCACCTGGCACCATCTCTCTGGAGGAAGGTGCCACCTTGTGTGTCTGCCTGGCCGGGGGGCGGGGTTGGTAGTGGGTGGGAGGGGGGAAAGGGTACAGGAAGACAGTGCTCCTGAGCATGTGCCGAGGGTTCAGGTCATCAGAAGAAGGAGATAGTTGGGGGAGGGCATCCTTTCAGGTTTGGGAGTGTTGTGGAGATCTGGGTTCAAATGTGCCAAGGGAATCCATTGAGTCACCTTGTGCCAGCCACTGCAGTACTTTGAGATCTGCAGGCCTTGTCAGCAGGTTAAACATTTATTTCACTTATCTATACCTATCTATCTATCTATCATTATCTATATCTATCTATCTATCTATCATTATCTATCTATCTATCTATCTATCTATCTATCTATCTATCTATCTATCTATCTGTCTGTCTGTCTATCTATCATCTATATCTATATCATTATCTATCTATTATCTATATCTATCTATATTTATATTTATCTATCATCTATAGCTATCATTATCTATCTATTATCTATATCATCTATCTATCATCTATTTCTATCTATATCATATCTATCGCTATCTATCTTCTATATCTATCATTATATCATTATTTATCTATCATCATTATCTATCATCTCTATCCCTATAGACATCTATGTGTCTACACATATTGTATCTATCTATCTATCTATCTATCTATCTATCTATCTATCTATCTATCTATCTATCTATCTATCTCTATCTATCTATTATCTCTATCTACCTCATTATCTATCAATCTATCTATCATTATCTATCAATCTATCTATCTATATATCATTATCTATGTATTATCTAAATCTATATTTATCTATCATCTATATCTATCATTATTTATCTATTATCTATATCTATCATTATCTATCTATCATCTATATCTGTCTTTCTCTATATATCTATCATCTATCTATCGCTATCTATCTTCTATATCTATCATTGTCTATATCATTATTTATCTATCATCATTATCTATCATCTCTATCCCTATAGACATCTATGTGTCTCTACGCATATTGTATCTATCAATCGATCGATCGATCGATCTACCTCATCTATCAATCAATCAATCATTATCTATCAATCTATCTATCATCTATATCTATATCATTATGTATTATCTATATCTATCATCTATATCATTATCTATCTATTATCTATATCTATCATTATCTATCTATCATCTATATCTGTCTATCTCTATATATCTATCATATCTATCTATCTATCGCTATCTTCTATATCTATCATTGTCTATATCATTATTTATCTATCATCATTATCTATCATCTCTATCCCTATAGACATCTATGTGTCTCTACGCATATTGTATCTATCAATCGATCGATCGATCGATCTACCTCATCTATCAATCAATCAATCATTATCTATCAATCTATCTATC